TCATAGGTAGACAGTCACACACACACACAGTCACAGACAGTCACTCACACGCCCACAATCACAGGCAGACAGTCACACACAGGCAGACAATCACACACACAGAGTCACACAGACAATCACAGTCTGACAGTCACACACACACAGTCATAGGCAGACAGTCACACACACACACACAGTCACAGACATTCACTCACACACCCACAATCATAGGTAGACAGTCACACACACACACAGTCACAGACAGTCACTCACACGCCCACAATCACAGGCAGACAGTCACACACAGGCAGACAATCACACACACAGAGTCACACAGACAATCACAGTCTGACAGTCACACACACACAGTCATAGGCAGACAGTCACACACACACACACAGTCACAGACAGTCAAACACACACACACAGTCAAAGACAGTCACAATCACAGTTACACACAGCACACACTCTCTCACTTACAGTCAGCTTGGGCTGGAGGAGGAGTGGATTCAGTCCTGCTGTCTTGTAGTTGGGGAAGCAGGGACTCCTTCCTGCTTCCCCTCTGTGTGCAGCAGTATGAGGCTGCATTTAGCTCCGCCCCCACACCCGGCTTGGCTCTGCCCCCACGGCCGACCTGGCTCCACCACCAAATCTCCGTGCAGGTTTCCTGCTTGCTCCCAGCCCCTGCATGTGAGCTGTGTCGGCTGCCCGGTGCGCATGCTGCTATGGCGCCCGGTGCAGCCACACAGCTCACTGAACACCAAGCCTGGCGGACCGCCCCCCCTCCCCCTTAATACGCCACTGGGGGAAGGTACGGGTCAGTTGTGTTCGTTCAAATGTGTGGCTGATTTCCGTTCCAGGGATTTGACAGCACAAACCGCTGACCGCGTTCGACTGCATTAAAATGGCCGCCGCCACGTGTTCGATTGTCTAATGGCGACCACTTCGACTACTTCGGCACTTCGGCTGTATCCGAAGTGCCATATCAAACGTACCCATTCTTTGCACAATCACATACACACACAAACATTACATACATACACACATTTAATAATTAAGAGGTCCACCCAGCCTCCCTATCTTGCTCTAGAAGGACTGGAGTGGATCCTCAGTCCCTGGTGGTCAGTGGATGCTGCTGGGGTCCATCGCACGCCGTGTAATAACGCAGAGGCCGCAATGACATCATTCATAGACAGTCACACACACACACACAATCACAGGCAGACATTCACACACACACAAACAGTCACAGACAGTCACTCACACACACACCCACAATCACATGTAGACAGTCACACACACACACACAGGCAGACAGTCACACACACACACAGAGTCACACAGGCAGACAGTCACACATACACACAACACAATCACAGACAGTCACACACACACACACACACACAGAGGCAGACAGTCACACACACAATCACAGTCAGACAGTCATACACACACACACACAGTCACAGACATTCACTCACACACCCACAATCATAGGTAGACAGTCACACACACACACAGTCACAGACATTCACTCACACACCCACAATCATAGGCAGACAGTCACACACACAATCACAGTCAGACAGTCATACACACACACACACAGTCACAGACATTCACTCACACACCCACAATCATAGGTAGACAGTCACACACACACACAGTCACAGACATTCACTCACACACCCACAATCATAGGTAGACAGTCACACACACACACAGTCACAGACAGTCACTCACACGCCCACAATCACAGGCAGACAGTCACACACAGGCAGACAATCACACACACAGAGTCACACAGACAATCACAGTCTGACAGTCACACACACACAGTCATAGGCAGACAGTCACACACACACACACAGTCACAGACAGTCAAACACACACACACAGTCAAAGACAGTCACAATCACAGTTACACACAGCACACACTCTCTCACTTACAGTCAGCTTGGGCTGGAGGAGGAGTGGATTCAGTCCTGCTGTCTTGTAGTTGGGGAAGCAGGGACTCCTTCCTGCTTCCCCTCTGTGTGCAGCAGTATGAGGCTGCATTTAGCTCCGCCCCCACACCCGGCTTGGCTCTGCCCCCACGGCCGACCTGGCTCCACCACCAAATCTCCGTGCAGGTTTCCTGCTTGCTCCCAGCCCCTGCATGTGAGCTGTGTCGGCTGCCCGGTGCGCATGCTGCTATGGCGCCCGGTGCAGCCACACAGCTCACTGAACACCAAGCCTGGCGGACCGCCCCCCCTCCCCCTTAATACGCCAATGGGGGAAGGTACGGGTCAGTTGTGTTCGTTCAAATGTGTGGCTGATTTCCGTTCCAGGGATTTGACAGCACAAACCGCTGACCGCGTTCGACTGCATTAAAATGGCCGCCGCCACGTGTTCGATTGTCTAATGGCGACCACTTCGACTACTTCGGCACTTCGGCTGTATCCGAAGTGCCATATCAAACGTACCCATTCTTTGCACAACACAGTTAAAGGGCCAGAAACAGTTTTTGTTCTTAGGTGCAGGGCAATGTGGTTGATGGGGGGAAAACAAAAGGTAGAGGTTCCCAGGCAACATGGTAGGAGGCTGGTACAACATATATTACAGATCCAACGCAGAACAGGGGGATCTGTTACAAATATAATTGCACGCTATCCTTCCATTTGCAGCAAATTGCCTAAGTGGGCTGTTCCAACTGTTTTATGCTTTAAAGGAAATAATGGTTTGCTTTTTGACCTACAGATTTACAGTTAAAATAATAATTTATCTGTGGACCACAGTGTTTACATACTGATACAACTACTTACTGAGCTTGATTCTGTCTTTCTCTCGCTCTCTTTAGATGTGTGTATATAAATTATAATAACAGTTATGGTTTAATCGACTAAATTGTTAATTGTCGGTAATTAAAAATAAATATTTTTTTATGTTGATATAGCCAAACTGAAAACATAGATGACTTGGCTAATACTTCTATTTCAGGCATTTTGGCATACAATGTGAAATTCACTTTGAATTGGCAAGATCCACGCTGAAATAGCTGGTCTGGAAAAATGATAGTGACCCCCAAAGCAAGTCTTTCACTATTTGCCCACTGGCCTGCTATTGCTGCCAGGGAACAAATAAATAACACTGGATCCCATAGCAACCAAAATGGCCTTTGGTTGTTTCAGCTGCTTCAGGATTAGGGCATGTAGCAGCTTAGAATTCAAATTTTCAACCACATACTACTATAAGAGAGGTATGAAATATCCCTTATGCCCCCTATCCATGATTTTGATAAAAGATTTAAAAAAAACAAAGACATCTAAGATAAGCATATTTATTTACAGGGCTTAGTTTGGGCCATTCTTAATATTATTAGGGTAAGGGTTCGGAATAATAGAGACCAAAATTCCTATGTTTTGGCTACTGCCATGGTCTCAAGTATCTTATATACCTGAATAAAAACAAAGTGCACACCCACTAAAAACAATTAAAGGACCACTCTAGGCACCCAGACCACTTCAGCTTAATGAGGTGGTCTGGGTGCCTGGTCCAGCTAGGGTTAACCCATTTTTTCATAAACATAGCAGTTTCAGAGAAACTGCTATGTTTATGAATGGGTTAAGCCTTCCCCCTAATTCCTCTAGTGGCTGTCTCATTGACAGCCACTAGAGGCGCTTGCGTGCTTCTCACTGTGATTTTCACAGTGAGAGCACGCAGCGTCCATAGGAAAGCATTATGAATGCTTTCCTATGTGACTTCAGCTGAATCTTGCGGCGGCTGTACTGCGTCGCATTCAACCCGGCGAAGAGGAGGAGGATGGAGGAGGAGAGCTCCCCGTGGCGCTGGAAAAAGGTAAAGTTTTACCTTTCCCCCTTCCAGAGCCGGGCGGGAGGGGGACCCTGAGGGTGGGGGCACCCTCAGGGCACTATAGTGCCAGGAAAACAAGTATGTTTTCCTGGCACTATAGTGGTCCTTTAAGTGTCCTGATTAGAGCTTACAGGGATAGGATATACAATAAAAGGTGAAAAGTGTTGCACTGTGGGTTCGGGATGTAAAACGTCATCACGCTATTGCGTGTGACGTTATAGTATCCAATGCTATTCAGTTCATAATGGCCAGATTGCACCTGTGGACACCCTACCGCCATAACGCCAAAGTTCTAGCAGACCAGACCTCAGTTCTCCCACTTCTATGCCGCCATTCCGTACTGCATGACTGTCAATTCAATTACAGTCATCGCAAAGGTCCATAACAGTCCCTCACGCTAAAGTCTTTTAGAGATGCACGTTATTTGCCCTATTGGGGACAGCATGTAGGTATCAATAGGCAATTAGTTCTCACCTGTAGATATCTCCTAAGCCCTATAGGTAAGGGAGGGGGGGGGGAGGAAGGGGATGTATACAAAATGTAAGCTATGCCACAACAGGGAACATATTGTCACAAGCAATCCATCATATGAAACACACAAAATCTGAAAAATTCTAAAAGTTATAATAATAACAATGTTCCCTATATAAATATCCAAGAAGTCTTTGAAAATAATTATACTGAAAAAAATGAACAATATTTTTTATAATATTCAATACAACCGATTCTGTAATTATTGTAATACAGGTACTAACTAAGTTCCACATGTCATTAATTCAGAGAACAAGGATTTTACAAATGAAAAACGCACATACATATAATGTATGTTCCTGTGTGCTCACATGGGGCTCCATGTGAAAAAATATACCTGCTAGTTGCTGCTTATCCAAACAACCGGGGGAAACCCAGTTTCCCACAAGATTTTCAGATGAGTAAACTAATAAAGAATAAAACAAAAATCAGTACCATTATATTTACTCAATTTGGCATGTAATACACCCAATAGAAATACACCCAATGGCTTTTCAAACATTGACTATCAGCACTATCAAACACTACTATCTTTACTAAATGAGCAGGATTTAATTCAACCTCTCACTAGTCTGAAGCCAGAAAGTTGGTTCACTCCCAATCTCAAGGAAGTTTCCAGTGTAGATCTCTTTATAAAAATGACCACTAATGAAATTGAGTCATTAGAGACTCCTATCAGACGCGAGGACAACCTAACTGCAGCAGAAAGAAGAGCCTTGACAGAACTGAGCCATGAACCAAATCTGGTGATCAAGGCTTCTGATAAAGGTGGTAATATTATCCTTCTGGACAAAAATAATTATATTGAGATGTGTATGGAACATCTTCAATATAAACAGCATTACAGCCATCTTCCCAAGGATCCTACCACAGAATATCTGATTGAACTGAAAAGTATATTGGAAGCAGCAGAACTGGATGGCATCATCAGTAAGGATGAATATAAATTTATCATCCTCAATATGACTCCAACAATTGCCACCTTCTACTGCCTCCCCAAAATCCACAAGAATCCAGTCAAACCTCCTGGTAGACCAATCGCAATGGCTCCATCACTGAAAGAAGCAGCCAATTCCTGGAGAAATTATTACACCCCTTGGTCATTAAACTAAAATCTCACCTTCAAGACACTAAACAAACACTGATACTACTTGAAGATTTAGTGGTTCCCCCTTACTATATGTTGGGCAGTTTGGACGTTGTAGCTCTCTACAACAATATTCCACACAATATAGGCCTAGTAGCCACGTCCTATTTCCTTAACAAAACACCAGGCTTTACAGCAGCACAAAGTGATTTCATTGTCAAATTATTGGAATATGTACTAACTCATAATTTCTTTGTCTTCAATGGACAATATTACCTGCAGCTCAAGGGGACAGCCATGGGTACGGCGTGTGCCCCTAGCTACGCCAACCTATATTTGGGTTGGTGGGAAGAGACTGTATTGCCAGCCATCACCAAGGACCAGTATGACACATGTATCTACAGTTGGCATAGATACATTGATGACATACTGGTCTTTTGGTTAGGATCTGTTGACCAATTTCAAAATCTGGTTAGAGATTTAAATACCAACACCATTGGCCTACAACTCACACATGTGATAGATTCCGAACATCTGGTATTTTTAGACCTCAACATTAAAATCTTGGAAGATGGTAAGGTAGAAACTGAACTCTTTAGAAAAGACACAGCAACCAATAGTCTGCTTAACTGGACTAGCTATCATCCTGCAAAGCTAAAGTCAGGAATACCTTTTGGCCAGTACTTGCGCGCAAGGTGGAATTGCTCCACTGAAATAACCTTCCAAAGGGAAGCCAATAAACTAAGAACTATGTTTAAACAGAAAGGCTACCCGAATAGAATCCTGAAACGAGCCTACCAACAAGCACTACTAACAGACAGAAGTGAAAGCCTAAGAATCTACAAACCTAAGTTGGAAACAAAAATAACTCGCTGTATAGGCATGTACGATCTATACTGGGATAAAGTACAAAAGATAATGGCACACAACTGGCCAATACTTCAACATGACACAAACCTTGTTGAAAGTATCGGTAATTCTCCTCAAATTACAGCACGCAGGGCAAAAAACTTGAGAGACATCTTGGTTCATAGCCACACTGAACCCATTAAACCATCACAATCCACCTGGTTAACTCAGACTACTGGAATTTACCGCTGTGGACATTGCAAGGCATGTCAATTCATCAAACCCACAAAAACTGGAACAAGCTCCATAACTAAAAAAAAATAAAAATCAAGGAGTTTATCAACTGTAGTTCAACCCGGGTTATCTATCTAATCACATGTAGCTGTGGTATCCAATACGTAGGTAAAACCTACCAGCAACTAAAACGCAGGATACTACAGCACATTTGTTCTATCACCAACTTAAACGTCTCGACTCCAGTATCAAACCATGTCCGTAACTACCATCAGGCTGATCCAACACACCCTACATTTCAGGCATTCGAGAAACTAACCTTAAACACCAGGAAAGGGAATTTCAACAAAATTCTCCTTATGAAAAAGAGTCTAGATGGATTTATTTTCTAAAAACACTAGCACCAGATGGTTTAAATGAAGAGTTCAACTTTACCCCCTTCATACACCAATAAACAACTTGGATAAATCCTAACCTAGATTCTTCTGTTCTCTCTTGTTTAAGGGCCAGTTCATGATGGATTCACTATTACTATTACCGAGCAATAGCATATTTACAAACCCAATGTCCTCTCGCCTGGCCGGTTTTACTTATACATACATATACATATCACAGGAATTTAATACCCTCTTGTAGGTAAATCTATTGATTCATCAATTCCTAGCACCAGGTCATTATTGAGTAATTCATAATGATAGCCAGCTCTATACTTATTATAATAATATAGTAATATACCTGTTAGCCAAACACCCGTTTACTGGCTGCTTTTCATCTCCATATCTAATTAATCTTTCTCTGGGATAAGCCCTGTATTTATTATTTAAATCGTTTTTTTAGTCTTTTCTTTTTATCCCCATTCTTTTCCTCTAGTATTATACTTTCTGATTATAATTAGTGCTATCTATACAATATTTAGAGTAACCTCACTCTATTTACAGTATCTAATTTTCTTTAAAAGTGATCTTTCTTTTCCCTCTTCAATTACAATTGTGATTGCTAAATTCAAACAAGAATTCAGTATAGAAGGGGTTAATCAACTCACCAGATTGATCACCCTCCCCTCGAAACAAGTTTGATTTCGTCACAACACAAGTAACGAGCATTCACCAATCAGGAACTGTCTCTGCTAACCAAAAGGAATACTTCCTTCCAGATTTAAACCGACCGGTTCCCCTCTGACGAGCCAGGTCGGGCGAAACACGTGCGTCAGGGTGTCACATTGTACTTCTCCTATGACCTAGTGTGAAGTACTTTCATCTGCAACCACGCTACTTATCTTCGACTATCTCTAATTCACCTTTAACATTAAGAGGTCCTGAGTGTGCGTATCGATTTTTGTGCACACTCAACTAGAAATTTAGTTAGAGATTTATGTATTATTTCCAATATTTTTCCGTATTACTTATTTTGTATCTAGACCAGTGGGATTAGTGATAGGTGCCCTCGAAGGCACAGTTCACAGCATAACTCCAGCTTTAGACACGGGGGGGGGGGCACAGTACAGGATCGCTCTAGCCTTATTACAGTTAAATAAGCCATTATTCTTAGAGTTTCACCGTCATTTAAACGGTTTATTCTCTGCCTATTTACTTTTATTTGTAGTGGGACTATTGGTAGGTGCCCTTGAAGGCACAAGTATTATACTTAGCAATCTACTGTCTGATCCACAGTGTATCCTGATATTCTGACTTCTATGCATTTAGCACTAGCTGAATTAATGACAAGCCGTTCTATCTAGAGTCTAACCGTCACTCGAACTGTTCATTCCCTGTTTATTTACTTTGTTTAAGCGGGACGATTGTTAGGTGCCCTCGAAGGCACAGAGGTAACCTTTGCTACAGTAGCAGCACACATGTAGCGGTATATCTGTTTTTTACAGTGTATCTTGGTATCCCGATTTCCAAACACAGTTGAACCAGTGATAGCTGCTGATGAAGATCCATTATGAAGCATTAGACCTTCATTCATTCCAAGCTCCAGCTACAATGTTGCTAATACATTCGCTGTGTCCCTTACTACCTTTCCGTTCGTACATGGAGCTGTGCTTTCTTTTCCTTGCATTTGTATATTGCTATCGAAATTCTCCAGACTACCAAGTACTTACTAATCATTTTACAATACTGGTTACAATCCCACAGCACTCTGTGCAGTTACATTATTTGCTGATATTCATCTTTGTAGATTCTTCTTATACCTACCAAGTGGCCTGGTGATTGTTTGCCAGTCTTGTTATAGAGATAAAATTACTGGCAGATACTTTTTTAACTTTTTTCTTTTAGATTTGCACACCTATTTTTGGGTATTAGTTGTAGCACCTACCTTTGGTTTACACTTATGTACACTAGCACGTTTTGGTTTTAATATTACTTAATAAAATTTATTTTTTTCTTTGGTTACACATCAGTAGTATACTTTGTCTTACAGTATATCTTTTCAGCATATCTGTTATAGACTGTTATACTTATTTTTGAACCTATTCTGTTCTTGAGTAACCACTCATTACATGCAGGTACACTTCTTGTTTTCTTGTTATACACCCAATAGAAGTTCCATTCTTTTAGTAAATATGTTTTCTTCTGACATCTCTGTCTCAAACACATTCGTCATGGTACTAATATATCATTGATGTTTATCCCACCCTATATAGATGTCCCAATACATGCAAAAAGCTATAAAATATAAAAACAAACAAAGGCAGATACATTAAATCCATTATCTAGTTTTTATCCTCATTCATAACCTTGGGGAAAATTAATCAGGTTTATATATCCAAAACATTTTCTTCTGTTTAAAAAGATTTAATCTATTGCCCCCTTCCCCCTGCTCACACCCTCCTGAGGAGATTATTTACACACTCTTTGCCCAAGAACAGTAACTCTCACACACAATGTCCAGCCTCCATAAAGCGGTGTGCCACTAATGAGGTAATTAAACCCATCCTTATGGCACTCATGTTCCCCTATGCAAACAGTCATGGTTCTGCAGTTCTGACTCACATATGTTCCCTCTTGTGGCATAGATACATTTTGAATGTCTTACCGTATGCATAACTTTTGTCCCTCTTACCTATAAGGCTTAGGAGATATCTACAGGTGAGAACGCATTGCCTATTAATACCTACATGATACCTACATGCTCCGATAGGGCAATTAGTGCGCATGCATGCGTCTCTAAAAGACTTGAGTGTGAGGAGCTGTTCTGGACCTTCGTGGCACCTGTAGTGCAATAGCGTGATGACGTTATACATCCCAAACTCATAGTGAAACACTTTTCACCTGTTATTGTATATTATGACCGTGAGTCATTGAGATCCTGTGAAAAAAAGCAGTAGGAATTTTACACTGAATGGGTAACCGATTTTTGCATTTTACTGTTGTTAAAGTTGTTAAAGAATGCGTATGCTCAAGCTAACTTTTGTTTTGCATGCAAAACAATGCAAAGCAAAATGAAGGCCATAAAATCGTACTGTCCTTTTGCTCTGACACTGGTTCTCATCATACAGAGAAACACATTTCTCGGAGAGGGTAATAAATGTATTTTACATATTGCACAGAAACTTTGGGAGTTCTGGCATGCTGCAGTGGTGGGTCAGCAATACCTACAGATCCTCGGTGTACCTTGGTATAAATGGATTTCCGTATGGTTCCTTATGCTGAAATTCAGACATCATTTTTATATACTGGTGGCAATTGTAGGACATTTTATTCCTATAAATATCATTACGTTCAAATATAGCTATAAATACATTACATTAACTACTTGCAAATGTACCAAGCAAATCTATTTTATGTGATGGTATTTCAGTTTCTGTGCTAATATTTCAGAATCATTTTTAATCCTGTCAAAACTTTTGTAAAGAATGAACAAATGAAATCATCTTTTAAATGATGTATTAAATTACGTACATTTACATAATTTCTATGTGAAGTAATTCTAAACAGA